CCTAAGCCTAAAGCCTAAACCCCAAGCCCTAAACCCTAAACCCTCCGAAGGTTGAAAGGGGATAGCCTTGTAAGGGGTAGCTTTCCTATGAGGGATACGGTTTGGCACACTGGTATACAGGGTTTAGGGTTTAGGGTTTAAGGTTTAGTTTAGGGCCTGGTTTAGAGCATCGTCCACCAGACCATGAGCAGCACTTATGCAGGACATAGAAACTATATGGGGGCTTTCTGAGAATCTGGGGTCCCGTCTTGCGGGTCCCTATATCGAGGATTGTACTGTAGCATGTTGGTGTAACCCTAAACCCTAAAGCCTGAAACCTAAACGCTAAACTTTAACCCTAAACCAAATAATCTGCAGAAGCCCAACTTGTGGATGATGTTCCCCTTATTGCCCCCACGGCCAATGATACACCACCCCCACATAATACCATGACGTTTGAGGCAAAATGTTTACGAAGGTTGGGTGGATCCAGAACCCTAAACCTTCAACCCTAAACCCTAAACCCTAAACCCTATATCTTAAACCAGGGAGGGGTGATGAAGTATGCAGGCTCGACTGCTGCATAACAGCGGGAGAGTCCTGCACTGTCGCGGATGCCATAACTCCCAGTCTTGACACCTGGGTTTAGGGTTTAGGGTTTAGGGTTTAGTCTTGACACCTGATCTATGGTCCATACTCCTTAAGGGAGTTATACAGGGGGATTATTTATGGGGACGACTATAGGGATTCTTAAGGGGAATGCTAGGAGTTTGGCCCAGTCTTGACACCTTAGCTATGGTCTAGACTCCTTTTAGGGGGTTAGAAAGGGTAGGGTTTAGGGTTTAGGGTCTAAACTCCTTCAATGACGTTGTATGGGGGACTTTATCTGGGGGCTTAGGGTTTGGGGGGGGGGGGAGGGGGGTGGGGGGTGAACACTTCTGAACATTCTTGGTTCCCTATGAACAGGGATCTGCATGGGGGGCCCACGCCTCAGGGGGCCCTACAAATGTTGGGTTCCAACGCAAATCCCCTTAAAGAAAGCTGCGGGTGGCATGTGGCTTGTATGGGTGATAAGTTATAAGTTGCTCGGTGCTTGTGTTTTTTTTTTTCGCCTCGTTCTGTGTGAGCCCGAACTATGGCCATGTTTGGCTTGAACCATATGAGAGTTTCCATAAACAGGGTCCCCCTAATATGAACCCAAAGTGACAAAATCCTTACTATAGGAGGGGGCCCCGACTTTTTCAAAACCCCAAGCATGACCTCCATTTTGAAGGAGCCTCGAATTGTTCGGAAACGCTGAATCCCCAATCAATCCCTACGCCCTATATTGTAAAAGCCGTAAATAACCTCGATTACCACTTTTGCAGGGACCCCTACTTGGCGGAAACCCCATGAGGAAGTGCTCGGAGCAATGTCCCGACTGCAAAAGCTCCGAACCCTTTGGGACAACACCAAGCACCCAGCAAGTAATGAGGCTTTAGGGTTAAGGGGTTTAGGGTTTAGGGCGGAAGGTCTCCGAAAGTTAAGGGCCCTTTTTGGGAGTCTCTACAGGAAGGATGATTATACATGTGGGTCTATATTGCGGCCTCCTGATTGCTGGAAACCCCTTTTATGTGCAAGAGTCAAGACTGGCCAGGTTCCCTTGACCCTCGCGATTTAGGGCTTAGGGATTAAGGTTTAGGGTTTAGGGGTCGAAATAAGCAGCACGGATTTTTTTGGGGGTCTATTCTACTGTACGTAGCTATATAAGAAGTATGAGGGCATAACATTGCCGAAAAATTAGGCTTCTCTACTGCAACCCCCTCTGAAGCCCACCTGTGCGTCGGCTCGCGGTTGCGAAGTGTCCCACAAGGTGTAACATGGCTGGGCACTTCTTCAACGTGCTTTGAGCATCAAACCGACATGAACGAAACACAGTAAGCCTGAACTTCCCAACCCCCAATGATGCGGACCCTATAAGAGTCATAGGAGTTCTCATTCTCAGGGTTGGGGTAACCAAATCTCCTGATTACTCTAAACTCTATCCCCAAGATGTAGTAAAATCGAATAAGCCTTGCAACCTGGAATGGCTGGAAGTATGGCATCCTCCCCATGACTAAAAAGCAGCCAGACTAGCAAGCAAGCCTATACAAACCTTGCTTACAGCACAACAGTCTATGTAGGTACTCTTTTAAAAGGATCCGTGTCACTGTGGGCGAGGGGCAGCATCCTAGGGTCCTAGGTGATACCAAGGACAGGCCTTCCACGGTTTCCGGTTGGGGTCATATGCGGCGGTGTTTCCAAAAATAACCCCAACATAACCCCAATATAACCCTAAACCAACCTCCCTGCCTGCTATTGCATGACTGCATTTGCAATGGTCTGATCCAATGCAGTACCTCAAGAGGCCCTGCATGAGGTCTGTAAATCGGCGGTCCAGCTTCATCAGGGCTTTAGGGCATGGAAAGAGCAGGATCGGCATCAATACACAAGAAGCGAACAGAAAGGCAACATACCTCAACCTACATCCACCTCACTCTCTTCTTCTAAGCCTATACCCAGTGCAATGTGACCTGACACCTAGATCCCGAACCCAACATGTTGCCAGGGTTTACTTGGAGATCAGAGGAAAACTTGGTAATGGTCATGTTGATGAAGGGTTTAGGGTATGTGGGGCTTCGTGTTTCGGATATCTAGGGGTTAGGGCTTTTCGGTTCAGGGGGGAGAGTGGGCCCATGCAGAACCCTTACAACCCTAAATCCTCGCGGGGGCAGCATGAGCCATTTGTACATGTC